GTGCTGTCTCTCTGCTCCCAGAGCTCCTGCTCTGTGCGTCTCCTGCTGCGCTGAGGCTGCGAGCTGTGGCGCTGCACGTGCTGTGTATTTAATGTTAACAGATCGCCATATAAACAGCCTGGCTTTCCCAGCAAATGGTGAGCCAGGGCTTAAGCAGAAAATCCCAGAGGTATTGCAGTGCATTTTCATGAGACATGATTTATTTTGCAATTGTGTGTTTTGGCTTTCTGCTCATTATGTCCAGCAATCAAGCTTTGTGGGGGTGCTTTACATTACACACGCCATGCCATGGAAAGCCCAGCACCAAGGCATTAGTCTTGAATCATCAGGATCTGGGGAGATAAAAAAACTTGAACTCTTCTCATTTTTTATTTTTGTATTTAATAATGCTTAGAGTGATTAGGAACACCAACTTTTTTCAGTCATTTTGCTGAAGCAGACACTTTGCTTCTATCAGTGTGTGATTGCCTTCTCTAACAAAAGGCAGGGGGCTAATGAGCCCTTTACATAAGTCTCTTTTTCTTCAAAATGTGAGATAAGATTCAGCAGAAAAATAGAGTTTTAAAGAGCTATACTCTAAAAGCACTGAAAGAATATTTTTTATTTCACTTCTGCCCTCTTCCTATGGCTATGCAGATCTATGTGTGGACACATTCATTTCCATGCATAAGCCAACCAGATCTGGTTTAGGTTAACCTTCAATGGTTAAATCAAAACTGGGGACACGTTGTAGGAGAAACATGTCCATGCACAAAAAAAAAAGAAAAGGAAGGTGAAGACAAAAGGGAAAGGAAGAGAGCAGAGGGAGAAGGGAAGGAATAGGAAGAGGGAAAGAAGCAATAAGTTTGTTTTTTCTGTGAAAAAAATGCTTTCTCTATAGCAACACAACGACATCTGAAGTTAGATGATGCAAACATAGACTTCAAAGAAAGGAAGGTGGGCATATAAGAATCACAAACAGAATGGATTAAATGGTTTACTGGAAATAACCTGTCCCTTTGCTGTCCCTGTGTTTTTGACCCATGCTATCTCCTGTAAGAGACAAGCCTCTGCCTCAATACAATTTTTGATTGATTCCCCTCCACATCCAAAAATACCAGCTCTCCCGAAAAAGGGTATTTCTTTCACACTCCATATTACACATGCCAAATACTTTATTGTACTGGATACAACCTCTAAACATTTACAGTAAGTGCACTTAGTAACAAAATTGTTTGCCAAAGCTCATTGGCTCTCTCAATACTTTTGAATTACAAACACGGCTTTATTTAAACAGGAAAAATTAACAGATTCCTGAGTCTCCCACATACACTTCTGGTTATCAGAATTTTATCACAGGCAAATGGGAACATTTCATGGAGGCTCTTGTTAAAATGCTGGCAGCTATAAGTGTGTTGGATTTACATGTACCGCAGAAGACAGCAGCATAATGTAATAGCCTTGCTCTGTTTCTTTCTTGTGGGTTTTTTCAGTTTGTTTTTTGAGGCATTTCTTGTAATTTTTTTGTTTTGGTTTGGGTACTTTGTTTGTTTTCTTTAAATATCAACCTATTTTTTTCTCCTTGATAGATTTAGAAAAGAGGAGCTGGGTGAATAGAAAATCCTCTAAGAGAAAAATGAAGGAAAGATAAGGGCATATTTTCTTAAGGAGCTGTGGCTAGACAGGTGTGGGTGTCAGTACTTTTTAAGCTAACTCTACTTCCAATCAAATGGGAAAGCCCAAGCAATTTGTCTGAACAAATGAGATTGCAGTTGCAAATCCCCTCCTTACAGACATCAGTGTATAGCACAGACTGATGCCTCACAGCAAGAACTGGTTTGAAAGGACATGATGGGTACACTTGCAATAACAGGAAAGCTCTTAACAGGACCAGAAAAAGGAAAAGACTGTATTTACCTCTGCAGCAAGTGGAAAAAAACAGCCAGTTTGCTAAGACTGACCTCTGCCAGCTACGTGAAGTCTCCCAGTCAGAAGGGACCCAGAACAATGACAGGGACGCCAGGGATGGGGTCACACCTCTGCACGGGTAGGGACAATGCCCTAGAGAAATGCCTTTGCCCACTCTGCTTTGCATCACCTTGATTCACACAGACCAAAACACAGACCAGGGGAGTTCACATCATTGCTTCTCCATCTGGTGGTGTTCTTTTTAGCCCACCTGGGAAGAGCAATCTGCAGGGTGGACTTTTATTTCTTTCACAGAAAAAGCTGCGTGTTTTTTGTCTGTGAATACCCACAGCAGACAGATCTGGCTGCTACAGTGTCACAGACAGAAACCCCAGATGGCTCTACAGCAGTTAGGTATGGTATCTGGTAGCATAATTCTGGGGCAACACAAAGGTCAGAAAAAGCTACAAAACCTCCTTCAGAAGCAGAGCTCACTTGAGTTTCTGGCCATGGTTAAACCCCTGCCCACCACACCAGTACAGATCAAAAGATAATCCATAGAGTGCAGTCCCATACTGGGATAAATTTATGTTGATATTGAGAAGTTACTTAGCAGAGGAAGGAGAACTAAAACACTAGACATAAGACACGTCCTTTTCTCTTTGACATCCAAGTTATCCAGGCTTAGTTTGCCCCATGAAGATAGCAAGCCTGCCTTTCCTTTTGGCCAAGTGGCCTACTCTGAGCCTTTGTCGCCCACTTGTTTAAATGCTGCTACAGCTGAGACTATTTGGCAAAGGCAAGATAAAAAAAAAGGTAAATCTTGCTGCAGTTATTTAAAAAATCTCTTTTCCTGGTGCACTATGGACAGAGAGGCATGCTTAATTTTCGGGAAAAAGCCTTTTTTTGGTCTGCCCTCTTTTCTACCTGCCCAGCTTTTAGTATCTCGGTCAGAAGCCTGCCTGAAGCTGCCAAGGGATCCCAGAAAAAAAGCTGTGACAAGAAAACCAATGTGTCAAACATACCTAGGATATATTTTCAATCTTCTATTAAAAAGTTGTGCTTTTTCTGACCAATGGGTTACCTAGCCTGTCTATATATCACAGCAACAGGGAATTAAAATTCAAAGGCCATCTTTTAAATTAGTTTTCAGATTTGTACTGCCACTGAAAATACATGAAGTAGAAAAACACATTTTCCTTGATCTGCAAATGATATTCCTTTTAATACACAACTCCCCACCACTACAATTGCTGACACAAACACCATTATATTTGAACTTCAAGAGGATTTACTTGGACCAGAGGCAATCAGCAACAAAAGAATTTTAATGACTATGGGAGGATTGTTGGTATTTTAAGAAGTGTTCTAAAACCTTTCAAAGAATTTGAGATAAGTAAAAATAAGTGGGGCAATCTTTTTCCCTAAGTACTTTGCACCATGTTTTCACATAGCAGAAATGAGTTCTACAACTGTGCAATGAGGCTGCAAAATATGAATAGAGGAGAAAAACTTTAAAAAATTCTGAGATGAAAACAAACGGCTGGGAACCATTCTAAGGAACACAGTAAATGAATTCTTCTATCCCAGGCTCTGGTTTTTATTCTCTTTGCTCACTGGAGCTTTAATTTCATTAACTTGCAAAGAACTACTCAATTCACAGATCAGATTTCTTAAGGATATAGGAACAACATGTCAACAACACAAAGCACTAATCAAATTTTTATACAGCAGCCATATGCTCAGTGAGTTCCTCTAGCAGAATTGCACAAGCAATGTTTCTCCCGTTGCATTTGATCTGACACATTGCTTTTCACCTTCTAGAAGAAAAGCCACATGTCTGTTGTCAGACATGCTCCCGGATTAATATACCTGACAACTGAAATTTAACTGCTGCTAGGAGTTCAAAAGGTTCAGCTTCTTGAGTTGTTGAGTGACTCCTTGGGCTGATCAATGAAAGTACCTGGACAGCAACTGCCATTTGTCACAATCACAGCGATAACAGAAAATCTCCTTGGGCATCTGTCTTCACAAGAGGCCTCTGGACCCGCCCAAGTCTCAAACAACTACATCACCCCTGTTTTCAAGTTATTCACCCATGGCTTCTCAAAACCCCCAGACTTCCAGCAGGTTAAACTAGGCTGAATGATTTGCTGCTATCTTGTAACATCATCCTCCCACCCTATCCAGATGAGATTCAATAAAAGCATGCAAACAGCAGTGAAAAGAACACTTGGAAAGGGCAACCCCTCAGCCCCAAAACCCCCAAACCCTAGAATAAAGTGTCTATGATTTTCTACTTTTGTGGGGATGTTAGGAACAGGAAAAAGTGCTCTTGCATTGGATCCAAGGAAGAAAGGAATTCCAAGCACTCTTGAAAAAAGGAAATTATTTTTTAGTCAGATGTCCCCTGTCTTTGGAGGCAGTCTTACCCTCTCCTTTCTTCTGCTTACCTGCACTAGTTCAAGTATCAAGCAGGCACTAAGGAAAAATTATGAGCGGATTAGCAAGCAGATGCTTTTAAATGAAAAATTCATACAGCCTGTTCTTCTGTTTCTCAGTATAGTTCTGTGAATAAAACCAAATCAATCTTTACATTCATAACATTCGTTCACACATTTGACTTGCTGTCAAATACAGACAAAACAAAAAGACTAGTTTTGTTCAAAGCAAGTGGATATATTCAAAACCTTCGTCAGGTGGCAGACAGTGCTACGTTTATTCTCTCTGCCTATCCCACCTTCCACAGTGTCCATGCAAAACTAGCTCGACAGTTCAGGTGGATTTCAGTTTTACTGAAAGCAGTCAAAACTCTCACTTTATTCAGTGGAGGCAGGCTTTGTTCACTTGTTTCGCTTCCCTCTCTCAGCAAGGAACTGCCTATTCCAAGCAATTTAAAATCCAAGCATCTCTTCAAATCAAGAGATGCTGAAAAGACTGGATTTTGCTGGGTTGACCCTCTATCCTCCATTTTTTCCCTGCCCAAGTGGGAGAATATCATCCCTTAAGTTACATTCCAGTATGGTATAATGAAGAATATATATATATATGGGGGTTTTGGGGGTTTTTTTGTGGGGTTTGGGGGGGGCGGGGGCTTTTATTTTTTTGTTTTGTTTGTTTTCTTCTTTTAGTTATAGAGACAACTTACAATGATGAAAACAGCGCCCGGAGGTTACTGTTGATATATTTTACATTGTTAGGAGAACACACAGTTTCCCAGGAAGAGGTCCCAAGTTTTTTATCAGCAAGATCCCACCTTTGCTCACGTTTATCCCTGTTAAGGAGTTTTGTTTAATATCAGTGATTCTTGGCAACTGATATTCACATGAGGGACATTTCTCTTCATAACAGTCTCATATTAAAAAAAACACCTGTTAGCTTAAGTATTTATAACAGTGTACTTGTGTGGCTATTAACTGTAATATGGTCCAGTCATTTGCAATGGATGACTACCTTGTAAAGTGTTGACTTTACAACATAAAATTGTACCTTGGCTCTTAGTAGCCCACTGCTTTTGAAATGAAGGGGGCATCATTTGAGTGGTATCCTACAAATACTTCTCAGTGCAAAATGCAGAAGGTGTTTTGTTTTCTATTACAAGAAAGGTTCCATAAATACATACCTTTTTTCCCTATTAAAAATGCGTATGCTTTTTGCCATGAATGAGAAAAGCATTCCAAGAACATGCCATAAATACAATTTTTGCAATCTACCAACCTGACTGTAGCCCTTTTAGAGCCTTAGGGATGTGTCCTACTTTAAGAACTTGTCCATAAAAAACTTGGTACCCCTCACATGTTTCAGATTTCATACTGCACTTCAAAGAAGAACCTTATATACATTGTGACTAAAGTACTGTTTATTTCATAATCTAAACAAACACTGGAATACAGTCTATGCTTTTCTACTTTCCAGCAGACTTTACAAAGAGCTTTTTTTTTTTTTCATAATTAAAACAATCTGCATACACACAGAACATGCATTCTCTAACTCCAGTAAGAAGGTAAGAAGAGTCAGTTTCCCTCATCTTCCTGTTGCCTGTGTTAGAAAAAAATACTTTTCTTTTTACTGTAGTTATGACAGTGTGGCTAAGGATACAAAGACTAGAGCACAGTTTTACTCCCTGCACAGAAAATGTTCATCACAAGCATGCTGATGGTGATAGATATTACATGTCTATTAAATGATAGGCATATTTTTATCCCCTTTACTCCCTTTTAAAAAATACTAAGTGGCTACATGTAAATGCAGTGAAGCAGGTATAAGCTTAATTAATCAGAGTTGATTCAGACTGGCACCAAGATGCAGCAAAGTCCAACAAAGTCTCAGCCAGGCTTTCCATGGGCTATTGATGACCTTCTCTGCAAAGCAACTACGTTCTACTTTTTCAAAGTAGAATTCAAAGTCTTTGCAGCATGGCCAATGGTGTGGGCAGGGCAGTCTGCGCTGGTATGTCGGGCCCCTGGAAAAGATGCTCTTGTAGTCCATTAGTGTTTGAGAAAAGGTGAGTGGGTTACCTTCCCCGGGCCCGTGCACCTGCCCCGCCCCACTGCGTCGCCTGCTGCTCTTTGTGGGTCACAGGGCTGGCTGTGGCTTCACACCACGGAGTGGTCATTGCTGTGGACGCCAGCCAGGATGGTGTGGTTGAGGGAGGACGCCGACCGATCCGAGCCTTCGGTGGGGCCATTGGTGCTCTCACTGCGCTGGCAGCAGAGGATCTGCTTGAACGTCGCACTCATCTCCTTGTCCCGGTAAGAGTAGATGATGGGGTTCATGGCAGAGTTGAACTCTGCCAGGAGCAGGAAGAATTTTTCATAGGCCAGGACATTGCACTGGGGACAGCAAACATCGAGGAGCAGCAAGACTAATCCTGGGGTCCAGCAGATTATGAAAGCACCTACAAAGAGAAAAAATGGACAAAGTCTACAAATATACTAATGCACCATTACTCGTCAAAACACCACAAGAACCATCCAGACAGAAGCAGCAATGGTTAATTTTCTCTTTCAAGAACGTTGTTCCCACACTCTCTTTTCACTGACCCGATGAGAGGGATGCCTTTCAAAGATCTGTAAATGGTTATGGGCAGCACATCAAAAGAACAAGACACACCCCAGACCCCCCCCCATTTGAAACTCTGCTTGGCAAATACATTTACATTTAAAGTTGATAATGAGGAACATTTTTTCCCTTCAGTTAGAGACTCTGACTAACCAATCTCTTGATCAGGAGAAACAATACTGCAATTTACTTCTCAAACTAATAACAACAAAGAAAACCTCTCTATGAGTGCTGTGACTGAAACATCAGTAATAGAAAAAGAGTGGTGCAGGCAGCAATTCTCAAGAAAAAGAAAGCCTGGGTCTTGTTAACCCGTTTCAGCCCCATTATGTAATGGAAAGTCCTAAACACACGTCCTTCTTGCACTGAAATGACATCCTTCAACGGATCTACTTATTTTCTTAGGGCTCTATTCAATCGAAATTCAGAGGCCCATCAGGCTTCAATAGTGTCAAAGCCAAAGGGTCTTACACCGATTAAAATGCTTCCCCCTTCCTTTCTCTATTTTCCAAAGCTCTGAGGAGAACAAAGCCTAGAACAAAATTCAGAGCTCAATGCAGAAATTAAATCAAATGCCTTGTACTTTATTGGGAGTACTGAATTAAAGGAAGATTGTAACTCCTTGCAGAGTTAGAGAGGCTTTCAATATAAGCACTGCTGGGGAAACCCTTACACACCAATCATGTCAGAACAAAGACCAGGCTCCTGAGATTTTCCAGGCTGCTTTACTGAGGTGGAAACCAACATGTTATCATCGCTGAGCAGGATTAGCACAGGCAGCAGCAATAAGGACTTCCCAGCACTAACCAGTGAATGCTGTTTCAAACTGGTTCTCCTGTCACTCTGGTATTTATTTGTTTACATACTGCTCCCGTTTTTCCTTCAGTGATGGTCTCTTGCAGGACTAGCAGCTAAGTCAGTTCCTAAAGCATGCAGACTCTTTGCCATGCCTGCCAAGAAGGTGCTAGCAATTTACAGCTTGGGCAGTGGCAACTGTAAGCTGTGCAAACACCTTTCTGTTTGGACAAGCAAACCCATTTAGATCAAATAGAAGAAGATTTTTCCAAAGGGGTCTGCAAGCCTGCAATATATGCCAGGTGACAGACACTGGTTACTAACCAGGAAACCACACACACGGGCTTTGTACACACCAAAAAGCATCCTGATGCTTGCAATTAATAGTGCCACTCAATGCCTATCACTTTGCTGACCAACAAAGCTCGCCAGTGGAAAGAAATTGGGGGGTGAATCGCCAGCTGCCAGTGCAAAGCACTGAGCCCTCTCACCAAATGACTTTGCTAAGATTTCTGGCAGCAATTTGGCAGCATGGGGATGAAGCTCTCCCGTGTTGAGGTGGCATCAAATACATGAACCCACATCGTAGCCTTTTTCTGCAGTCCTTTTGGATTCCAGCAGTCCTAGAAAAGAGTACTTGAAACCTGTACTGGAAACTACAAAACTACCCGTTTTGTAGTGCAAAGAACTACAAGCTTTTGCCCCTTCCTTGTACCTGTTGCCATAAGAGTAGAAAATTGCATCTCTTTATTTGCAGTATTGTCCATGCTGATAGAATCTGCCCCCTGCACAGAAAAGCTCTGATGAGTTTGGTTTTTGCAGAAACCAAGTCAATAATTCAAATTCAACCACTCACTGTTGAAATTGTGCATGTTCAGCCTCCCAGCTAGTAAGGCAGCAGTGGACTCTGCCCTAGCTTAAGAATGTATTTTCTTCACTATAGGCTGCCTTGTGAGAAAAACATCAGAGATGGAAACACTGCAAGTCATGGGATCCACAGTGAAGAACAAAAGACAATGACAGCATCCTCACCAGGCCCGTAGCAGAAAATTCCCATGTGGAAACAATGGAGCTAGCAGGAAAGCTCTCATAGCATTGTTCAAAGCTGCAATTGAAAGCTTCCAATTTTCCAATTTTTTAAAAATTTAATCTGTTGCTGAGGAATAGCAGAACATTCTGTTGGCATAATTTTTGATATGTTAGAAACAGCAACAAGAAGCTCTGTGGTGAGGCAGATAGGAATTTGCTCCTGAGAAAGTCCCAAAGTCATCCAGAAAAATCCACATGCAGCCCACTGCATGGAACACTTGTCTCAGATGGAGTTCCTGAGCCTCTCTGGGCTCCTCAGTATCTCAGACACAGGTCTGATAACCTACGGGCTGAGGCTTGATAGGCTGCACTCGAGAAAAAGTGGACTGTGGTTGAGCAACCAACTGATTGCTCTGTGCAGCTCAAGCTACACTGAAAAATAATAAAAAAAAAGGTTGTCTTCCCAGCCAGCTCTGGAAGGAAGTCACTATTGTGCAAGTTGTCACCCTTCTGCTCCTAGCAAAGCATTCCCCCATGCTAATGGCTCTGGCAGCTTATTAAGTGCTTGTAAATGGTGACACAAAAATGCCTCAGATTAGCTCACTTCTTATTTAACTGTTGGTACACTGGAAAATACTGAGAAGCATCACTCACGATAAGGTGTGTTTGAGTTAGGTACAAAGGAAAACATAAATTTAAGGCTCTTAAGTCTTCAGTTTTAGGAAACTTCATTTGTTAAACATGGAATTCTTCTTCTGGAAGGAAAACAAGGATTGAATTTTTTTTTCTGTTATTTAAAATATTTGTTGAAGTAAGCTGGAAGTGAGATTAAATTCTTCCCCTCTCAGAAACCTGTTGTGAATTAACTTCACTAAGGATGAAGATCTAAAATTATCACATTTAATAAAACAGTGACATCCAAAAGCTTCCTGCTGTCATATACTGGAGAACCTTAAGCATACACCAAAATATTGATGTTTTTCTGCTCAGAATCAGAACTGTGAGCAGCCTAAAGTAGAGCATTAGAAATTTCCAGGTGTGTCTTAACATTTTATAAACTCAGTCATACCTAAATTACAAGGACACATAAAGCAGATCTGTTGCATTCAGTGACTTGAACCTTTGTGGATGTGTCATACTCATACCATGGAACTAGGAGAACCCAAGGTACTGGAAAAAAAGTGCAGACTTTATGTCCTTGGGTGGCTGAAGAGCACTGATGCCTGGACAGAGAGCCCCTTGGGATATCACCTCCAGCCCTGGCACTCCTTTGAAGGCAATGGCACTGCAAGAAGCTAAATGAGCTCTTCAGTTGCAGCAGAAGGAACATCCCCATGGAGCATGGCCAAGGTCTGTCCTCAGGGTCAGGCCACAGAGGGCTGGGTGAAGAAATGCCCATCAGGCTGAGTGGTGAATGGCTAGCCATTAGACAGGAAAGCTTGAGGGAACCAGAGAAATAGCACATCTCCTTAAAAGATTGAAGGGTCCCTACGGACCAAGAAGAGTTACAAAAAAGCATTTATGACCTAGTCTAATTTTCTGCTGCTGTGTGATACCTCTCATCCCAATGAGAAATGAAACTCCTTGCAGAGCTGTGGTAGAAGTCCACTGGAGGCTTTCCAATGACCATGATATGATTACATCACATCTGTCTTGAACCCTTGTCTGGTGCATCAGTGCAGATTATGTTTCCATGATAGCTGGTTGTTGGAAACCCTTGGGTAAATGAGACAAGGCCTCACAGCAAGGTTTGATTGCAAGAGAGAAAAACTGCTGTAGGCAGTAGGCATATGAAACCAGCCATGATAAATCACACAAAAATCAGTGAGTACAAGAACAAAAGAGAAAACAACTCCAAAAAACAGCAGCGGAAAAGAAATAAGCTACACAAGAATAAACACTGATGAACTAGTCACTGATTACTAGGATACCAGACTGGATGGCTAGTCATGAAACTTCTTGTGTTTGCAGGCAAAGTGTTTCCTAAGCAGCACTCTTTTCTTTTTAGATCTTTTTTTTTTTTTTTTTGTCTTTTGCCTTGGAGAGCCTATGTCTGTGTTTATTCTGTTTGTTTTCCTCTAACTCAACAGAGCAAAATAAAAGGAGCAGTTCTGTTTCTGCCAAGTCACACACTGCTGTCCTTCAGAGGCTCCAGAGGGATGTAGCTCTTGTCAATGCACACCTATTCTGAAACACCCTTCTTCTCTGCCTTAACCACACTGTGTCCCTTTCATGTGCTCTCTTTTATTCATCTTGTGTGTTAACCCTGATATCTGGCACAGGCTCACACTCACCCTGCAAATTCCTCAGTCTATGTGGAGAGGAAAAATATTGAAAGGGCCTCTTTTAGGCAGTGAGAGAAGAAAAAAAAGTCTCTCCTGTGTTTGCAGTTTTTTTAAGATTACAGGAATAGGATAAGGAACTAGCATATCAAAGACAGAAAACATCCATTCCAACTGAACTGCAGGAATATTTACAATCTGCTGCTGTTCCCCTCCTACTCTTGTCCACTCACTGTCCTCTCCAAATCCCCTGCTGCCCTCAGAGTGGCATTTGTGACAGGCAACCGCACCCCCCCTTCTCTGGGACAATGGTGACTGGGAGACGAAAGGACATCGAACATCACTGCTATCACTGTTATCACAGCTACCAGCACGGAGAAGAGTCCTTCTGCACTTGGTGCAAGCTAAAAGCAATGCTCTGGGAGAACGATTGTTTTAATTAACAAAACCATAGCCAAAAAGGGCTGCAAAAGTGTCTGGCATTTTCCACATTCTGATATAATCCCACCCTTAGCAGGGAAAGCTACTTGCTATGCTAGCTGAGACGCAAGCTCATTAGCTGCAGCACAACTACACTTCTTCATGTCCTAGCCATCTGTAAACTGTATCAATAATCCTTCTTATCACACTGAGCATTATCTTCTGAGCATTATCTTGTGCATAGCATGAGTAGAGACAAGCACTGCAAGCAATATTGCTTATTTACAGCTATGTCCTGCTTTCCCCTGAC